ACATCTCAAGAAAACTGTTAGAAAAGAAAGGAGTGCCACAAAAGTTTCAAGGAGGCACCAGGCTGGCAGTACTCCTAACCACTGGAGGTGAGGAATTAAGTTGGTGGGGAGGAGAGAGCTGCTGCCCCCAGTGGTCGGTTGGGGGCAGCATTCTCAGAGGCAAGTCCCCCCTCCCTCTTGAGTGGCCTGGCTTCTTTCTGCCTGTGGAAGAGTGAGTGGGTCCCCTGGGAAGATCTGGTTGATAGATACAGTTTAAGGGTTGAGGGGTTTATATTAATTAGTTGCCATTAATTCTCTTGTCAGCTCCATTCCCTGAAGGCGAGGACCATGCTGATAGAATTTGTTTCCATCAATCAACAAATCCATGGAACTTGCTTTCCAAGTCTGAGGCCTTGCCCCTCCCTGCCCAGCTTGCGATCTGGCGCTTTTGAGTGATGGTGGCACGAACCGCCTTTCTCCCTCACTTGCTCAGTGCTTATAACAGCACATAGCGGAAATTGGGACCTCAGAGAGACTTTAGAGATGGCCCCAATTCCCCCACCCATCACCTTTATAATAAAGGAAGAAACCAACGTCCGGGAAATAGAATAATTTGCCCCCAAGGCCACACTGTTATTGGGTAGCAAAGATAGCGCTCCATCTGTTAATTATCTTCTGGTACTTGTTTATCTTTATAAGGAAATTACTCTCTTCTTAATAAAAAATCCTCCTGCTTCTCCAAAGTTGGCATTGATCCTTTGGTGGGGTTGGGGTGGGGGTAACTGTGACTCCTTCTGGGATTTGGCTGCTCTCTAAGATCTCTCAATGACACCTGAACCTACACCGGTGCTGGTCTCCACAGATACCTCTGCCCTTGAGAAGACTCAAGTGGGAGAAAAAAGCCAAAATAGTAGCTGCCTTTCTCACACTCCACTGTGGCACAGTTGAGAGAAGCTGGAGCCCTTTATAGGGCTGAGCAGGTTTGGGGGTGGAGGTGGGAAATGGCCATCATACAAAGCACTGAGCTACTAACCAAAAGGTCAGTGGTTCAGACCCACAAGCTGCTCACAAGAGAAAAAACTCTGTTAAATTGCTTCCACGCCGAGGAAGCCCTATGGAGCAATTCTACTCTGTCTTCTAGCGTCGTTGTGAGGCAGATGCAATCTCATTGACCCTAACAGCAACAGCGCTCTGAGGCTGGCTCGTCCCGCTCTCGAAAGAGTTCTCCAGGCTCTGCAGCCTCTGCCATCCATGTGGAATCCTGGAAATCATCTACTTCCTTTCTCTACTGATCTTATTTTAGTGCCCGCGCGCGCGCACACACACACACACACCCTCCCCAAGAAACATCATCTCTTGATCATTTTAACTCCTTAGGTTTAATTACCTAGGGATTCACACAACCAAGGGACTGTAACCTCACAAGGGCTCACATCCTGAAAGAGCACATGATCAAGAAATCACCTCCTCTTTCGGGTAAAAACTGTGGTGGCAGAGTCTGTGAAGAGCAAACCAGAATAAAGTTTTTCAGCACAGCATGCATCTGACGAGAGGGCTGCATAGGAAGATGTAGACGCGGTGTTAATTTTAGGCAATGGTTCTCAGAGCATAGTCCCCATAGCAACTCTGTGGTGTGCCTCAGACTGTCAACCTTTACAGCAGGTGACCACGTCATCTTTCCCAAAAGAGCAACCGATGGGTTTGAACTGCCGACTTTGCCATTAGCAGCCCAACACTTAATCCACAGCACCACCAGGGCTCCTTTGCAAAATAAGCATCAAATAGGAAGTTGTCAGAAATGCACATTCTCAGGTCCAGACCCAATCTACTGAAACTAGGCAGGAGGGGGAGGTACATTCCCCCGTGAGTCTGATGTACACTCAAGCTTCATTGACAAGGCATTGCTAGCCGCGACAGACAGAATCTTCTAAAGAGCAAGAGCTTGTTGTAAACATCTTTATGCCAGAAGCGCTCCTTCCCAGCTTCCCCACCCACATGCACGAAGGTGACAGCTGTGATATCATTACGACCCTGAACTCAAAGATAGACGGAAAATCAACAGGAAAGTTATTTTTTTCTTCAAAAAGCAATGGGGAAGGCTCTATGGATAAGGACTAATTGAAAAGACAAGGGATGACGGAGGAGTAATAGCGGATGGAGTATGGTTTCGTGGGACTGGGAGAAGAGCATCCGGCTAAGAACACAGCAGACTGGCTAGGGGAGGGGGTAACCTTAGGAAGGGTAGGAATATGCCTATTTTGGTAACTCTGGGTTATAATGATTGATTACTGACTGCTCCCTTGCTTACAAACTTTGGAAATGGTATCATTCATACCTCTCCCACCTTCCATAATTTATTCGAAATACGGTTTTGAAAATCTAAAACATGAAACACACAAAAGTAGCCTCTCTACCCCTACCAAGAACGCTGAGTTCTTGAGAAAGAAGATGGATGAGTGGAAGTATATCTCAATATTGAGGCAAAGGGCAAGAAAAGTGAACAAGTTCATGCTGGAATTTTTGGTATGGTCCATATATGTGTAACACAATATTTTCCATTTTCGCATTCATCACAAGCACAATTCCATGACACTAGATCTATTTGTTGAGTCCAAACATCACCATTATCCATTTCCAATTTTTCCATCACCCTCAAGGGAAGTTCAGCGTCTGCAGAGCTGTGAGCTACCCTTTCCCCCATCTTCCCACTTGCTCCTGGAAACCACTAAGGAACTTTGGTCTCTACAGTTGCTTGTTCTAAATATTTCACATAAATAAGACCACACAATATCTGTTCTTTTGTGACTGACTCATTTCACACAACATTTTGTTCCAAGACTTTTCCCTGTCATAATATGTATCAAGACTTCCTTTCCCTTAACGGCAGGTAGTTGTCTATTATATTTCAGAAAGGGGCTTCAGAAAATTCATCGAAAAATTCCATTATCTTTTATTCTACTTTTCCAGGAACTTCCAGAAGCCCCTTCATGCATCTATCACATTTTGTATCTCTATTCATCTGTTGATGGACATTTAGACTTCAAGTATCTGTGTTCCGTCTTTCAGATCTTTTGTGCATACACCAAAGAGTGGAATTCCTGTATCATAGCGTAAGTCTGCTTCGGTTTTTTGAGGATTGGATTCTCTTCTCTTACTGATGAATAAATGAAATGATAAGTGATCATTATAAGATAGAAAATGCTATGAATATTTAGTTATTGGGTATTCATTTAAAAAGAGAGAATGAAAACTATAATTTTGAGAGAAAGCTATCATGAGACGAGGGATGCCACTTTACATTTTAATCATCCCAGTCGTTGGTAACTCTGCATCTAGGACCTCGATCTAAATATCACTTTAAAAAGAAAAGGTATGGGGGTTATAATTATTTATTACTGACAAGTCCTCTCCTTACAATTTTTGAAAATGGTACCATTCGTGCCTTTCCTCCTCTTCCATAATTTATTAGAAAAACAAATCTTTAAAATCTAAAACATGAAGCACAAAAAAAAATGGCCTCCCACGTTTTCACTCATTTTAATTGGAAGAAAAAGTAGAAGGGGAAAAAAAACTGATTTTAAAAAATTTCCATTCCTTTTCTTATTAGATCTAAGCAATGAGAAGGGGGGAGGGTACAATCTCACCTTGCTCATGGTTATATAAAGAACTTTGTCTCTATGACAACAGAAAGGTTGATCGGCTTGATATGGAAACAGCTTCTGAAAATCTGTTAGTAAGAAAATGCTAATAATAATTATAGCCGTTTATTTTTTGCATGTTGTGCCTACTGAACAGAACTTCAACTTTTAGACTTTATCACAAGACAATTTGGAGACGTCGGAAAGTGAAACCGTCCAATGTGATGGGGAAATATTGGTCTCTGGACATGTTTCCTGAATGTCTTCCTCGTTCTTCCACCTTCACAGGAGATCAGGGTCAGACAGTTTGCCATGCCGCAGAGGGACATGAAAGTAAATGGCATGTCCCTGTCCTGAAGGAACTCACAATCTCGGTGGAAGCACACCCAAGAGCGTGTTGTGGGTGAGGACAGGGTCAGGGAGATGCTAAGGAATTCAAAGAATGGAGCAGCTCACTTGGGACTGAGTCTCTCAGGGAAGGCTGCACAGACCAAGGGTTATGAAGCTGAGCCTTGAAGGGTGGGGGCGGTGAAGCACCCAGATGAAAGAACCACATAAAATTGAGGTGTCCTGGGAGATTTGCCAGGTTGGAATTGGCTAAAGATTCCTTACTCGGAATTGAGAAATATAAGCACAGCTAAATGAATTCTTTCTTCCTGCCTCACCCAAGCTCTTTTGAAGGAAAGGGGTGGTGCTTAAAGCTATATAAAGTCATGAAAAATATTTGATTAAATTATTCTGAGGGCTATGAGGAAAAAAATAACCCAATATGTAGTTCATCAATAATAATGTGGAAAGCAAAGTCTTAAAAAGAATGCTAGCTAATAAGTGTAGGAAGAAGGGAGATACTTTTTAAAAATATATATAAATCATTTTATTGGGGGCTCTTACAGCTCTTATAACCAACCATTCATACATCAATTGTATCAAGCACATTTGTAGATATGTTGCCATCATCATTTTCAAAACATTTTCTTTCTACTTGAACCCTTGGTATCAGGTCCTCTTTTTTCCATCCCTCTCCCACCTTCCCATCCTCCTGAACCCTTGATAAGTTATAAATTATTATTACTTTCATATCTTACACCATTCACTGTCTCCTTTCACCCACATTTCTGTTGT